ACCTTCCCCAGCCCCACCCCTCCTCTCTCTCTTTATTTCTGAGCTCCCTCCCCTCTCCCCCATTTCTGAAGAAGGGTCCCAACCCGAAACGTCAGCTTTCCTGCTCCTCTGATGCTGCCTGGCCTGCTGTGTTCCTCCAGCTCCACACAGTGTTTTCTCTGACTCCAGCATCGGCAGTTCTTGCTATCTCTGGATGTGAAAAGGACTTCTTCTCTTACTCACCCTTTTTTAAAAAAGGGGTTGCCCATTTAGGACCGATATGTCAATAATTTGTTTTCATTTGGGTCATGAACGTCATTGCTCAGTCTCTCAAGCCCCGAATGGATCATGGTTATCTTGCACTGTTTATTAACCAGCTGCACGCAATGTATTGCATGTGGTCCCCCATTCCAGCTAGCCAATCAAAGAGTTGGCATCTTTCTTTCTTTCTGTTTATTTGTTTGTCTTTTTTTGCCTAGGGTAATAGATTTTATCCATTTGTTTAGTCGTGACTGTGGGCTCCGAGCATCTATTAAAGCAGAATAAAATATGGCAGTTCAGCACCTCAGCAGTTGGGAGCTGTTGGACTTGCATGTTGACTGATCAGTGGGACACTATGATCCCTCCCAATGTTGGAGACATTCTTTCTGTACACAATAAAATTAGACTTATCATTCATAACTACTGTTGTGATAATACGGTGCAGCCAATTTGGATTGTCCTATCCAGAGCACTGCTTGCAAATTGTACGGAGACTGTAGGCTTCCCAAATGTCAGAACCCTGAATCAACCTCTGGTTGTGTTCAATGGAATGTAAACTACCATGTTTAGCTGAGCTTGATCACAGACATTGCCAGAAAATTGTCATATTCAGACATTAGTTTACGTTTGTCACTGCTGCAGATTTTTTGTCAGGGTTTACTCCCTTAGCGGTCAGCTGTTCTGAGATGACCACAAAGCAGTGAAGGTATTCACCTGCAGCTGGAATTTTGGTTCACAAGTGCCAAAGGAATCCAAATGCTTGTTAGGTTTTCATAACGCACAGCTAGGGCCTAGGTTCCTCTGAAGTTTTTTTAGCCTGGGAGTTTAGCTAAGGAGTTACAGATGGATAGGATGTATACAGGTAGGAAGAGAAAACACATTTGGCTTCCTTTTTCATATTGCTGATAGCTGGTGGAGTAGGTTAAAAAAGAGAAGCAAGTATACTCACACAAACTGAAAATGTGCTCACTGTCTTCACATCATACTAAATGAATCACATCAACCTATTGGATGCATGGTTTTCATAATTAAATAATTATTGTGAAATAGCTTCTACCTGATAAAGAGTAAGATTTTCTATTACGATAAATTCCACAATTTAACTTTTTAGTGAATTTTATAATTTACACTCTACCTTACTCCCCTCAATCATTTATTTCACTTCCTGTAAGATATGAAATTCAAACAGACTTCAGTGATTTTTGCTTCCTGTTTTGCTGTTCGTGAGAATGTTTCATTGAGATTGGCTACTTACCTTTTACCCTGCTGCATGCCTGGAATACCCCTGGATATTGTTCCGGATTCAACCCTATATTGGGAAAGGAGAGATCATTGTGACAAGATATCACAGTGTCTTTTTAGACAACTCTTTGAGGTCACCAAGCTTAGAGCTCTGGATCTGTAGAACTTAATACAGTATTGTGATCACAGAATAACTATTTTATTAATGGGATTTACTACTTCAGTCTGGAATTGAAAATTTGTTAAAAATATAGCTGTTCTTTAGCACCACAAATTGCTTGTATAATCTTGCATACAAATCATAGAATGTAGGGATTTTTAAGATGTATTTTTACTAAAATTAATCATTAGTATAAATCCTTATAAAATTAACCAGCCCTGAAGGAAGCCATTAAGCCCAGCAAGTTAGTGTGTTCTTGGAAAGAACATAGAACATAGAACATTACAGCGCAGTACAGGCCCTTCGGCCCTCGATGTTGCACTGACCTGTGAAACCAATCTGAAGCCCATCTAACCTAAACTATTCCATTATCATCCATATGTTTATCGAAGAAGAATGCGATTGCCCCCATTCCTCTGCTCTATCCTTGTTGCCTACAAATGATTTTTGAATATCAATTCCCTATGGAATCTGCATTCACTGCCCTTTCAGGTATTTATATTGAAAGCATTTGCCATTTATAATGAAAACCAGTTTCTCTTTCTTGACAGAGGAAAATATGGTCATACACACAAGAAGCCAAGAACCAAGACTAAACTGGATACATCAAAAAAGGACCAGACTACGTCAACTACTCACATGAACTTGCTGCCAGTCACCAAAGAAAATTTAAAATCTGAAGAAAAGCTTGCTTCTCAACAGCCCAAGATAGCCCCCTATAGTCCAAAGAGAGAACTGTCTCAAAAAGAAGTGAATGAATTTTGTAAACTTGTGAATAAGACTTCAGAGAAACAAAATAATGAGACCTGCAAAATTTATGTTGACAATTTCACAGTGCGGTCTCGGAAAAAAATAAGTGATAACCTTCATAGTGAAACTCTCACCCTGCAAGCAGTCAGTAGCCCTAAGGATGTACCCAAAAATGCATTGCAGATAAAGCATATGAAGATGCTAGCGAGGAGAAAGGAGATGATGGAAGAACAGTACAAAATACAGCACGCTAACAATGAAGAAATGTACCAATTACCCCATATTTCAAACAAACTATTGCCTATTTATAATCCAGCCATGGCTATTATGCAGACTCAAGGTCTCTTTTGTACTTCAGACCAGGTTGCCAGGTCAGCTACTTTGCCCAGAAATAAGCAGATCATCTATAGCCCTTTGCCTGAGCCACTAACCAGGGATAATTACACTCAGACACTTCCTAAAATGCCATTGCACTCCCAGCAACAGACTGAATCCCAGAGAGAGCAGCATATTCTTCAGGGACAACAGGATTATATAAATTCAAAACAGGTATTGGATTCTAAGTCAGCGCTGCCTGCAAACTGGGGAAGATATAGCAACAACCTCCTGGAATCTGTTTCTGTTCCTGGCACATTGAATGAGGCAGTGGGAGTGGCTCCATTTGCCACTGAACTGCAAGGCATATCTGAACAGACACTGTTGGAACTGACCAAAGGCAAACCTTCCCCACATCCCAGAGCATGGTTTGTATCGCTGGAGGGTAAGCCAGTACCTCCAATCAGACATTCGTGCATGATTGTTCAGAAACCGAAAAAAGCACACAGCAATGACACAAGCCTCGACTCAGGAGTTGACATGAATGAGCACCACACTGGCAAGAAGGTTGAAAAGGAGAAGACCTTCATCAAAACTGCACCTGCTTCAAAGAACCTGTACTCTGAAGACATGGATCTGAGTGGCAGTGAAAGCGGCACCACTGTCTGTACCCCAGAGGACCTATCTTTCAGACATGTATTGGATATAGGAAGCGACCAGATAGTTGAGGTTGAGGAAGAACAAAATGACCGAAGTTTGCTGGACGATGCAATAAGTGTAACCCCTCCACATAGGAAGGGACGAATGAGTACTAATGGAGATGGGGAAGATAGTAAAAAAAGTGTTTGGCAGAAGAGAGAGGAACGACCTCTCATCTCTATAAACTGAGTTGAATTTCTTTGATTCCAAGTTATTACAATGGAACAAAGCATGGTTTTAGTTCTGTGGTTATTTTAATAATTAGTTACATTTTGTGGTACTGAATAAAGACATCCTGTTTGTATATGGTGTATATTTAGGATCATTCATCTTGAATTCACTGTAAATAATTACGCACAAGGTTATTAAGCACCAAGTTATTTCTGTCCTTTAAATTTTTGCACCAGAATTTGTTTATAAACAAATGGTGGAATATCTGATCGGTTTGCAGTATATTTTTACCAGCAGACCTTGAATTCTTTCTTTTACAATCCATTGCCCTCTTTTGAATCTGTCACCTCTGCCACTGTAAATCTCCAGCAAGAAATGAACAAAGTGATCTTTTCTCTCTTGTCTTAATGTTTAATGTCAATCTGTTCTGTAAATGCATTGATAATACTCCCTGCAAAGATAAAAATGGTTAAGTCCAAATCCAGTTGTTACGATCAATTCCTGTGATGCCCAGACATAACAGCTTATCTAAAAATTAAAAAGATATATTCTGAATAGAATGCTGACTTAACTTGAATCTGTATCAACAATGAGATAGAGCGCTTCATCTTCAGGCGGTTGTCATACCAAACCTTTATTTTAGCATGAAAATAGTACAAGACACTGCCTTTTACAATTTATACAAATGAAATGTATTTGCCAAAGTTGAAGCAATATATAATTTTACACGAAATATTTTATAAAATGTTTAAAAATATATGTTTTATAAAAGCTCCAATCCCAAAAGCACAAACTTTTCAAATTTACTAAACAGCGGGAAAAGATTGTTAAATTTTGCATGCAAGTACAGGATTAGTGATTCGATTCATGCAGCAACATTTGCAAAACACCAGAGTTTTGCTTGATCATGCACTCTGAGAGGCTGCTGTTCAGATTTAAGTAGAGGCTCATGCTTTAAAATTAAATCTAAAGGACTTTGTAAAAACACAATATTCATGAATCGCCATAAGACGTGGAAAGCACAAGGCCGAAATAAAACTGTCACCAAATTCTAACCCCAGTAATAAAGGCATAACTATTTTTATTCTTTTTGTGACAGAGGTGGGCAGAAAATGTTGAAGTCAGTTGTTTTGGAGTTTTGCTGATAAGCAACAGGGAAGCATGTGTACTATATATAAAAAAGCTGTAATGCTAGTTTCCATTGTTCTCATTAGCCTCCTTCATTTTGTTACATCTATCTTCTTTCATTCAGATTCTGAGGAACCACTGCAGTTTTTAAAGTTGGCAGTCTACTGATGTTGAGAATTAGTGAATCTTACTAACTGTTGCTGTTAGCCATAATTCAGACACTTCTCCTGACCAGAATGCATTTTTAGAATACAGCCCTGATTCAAATATAGTTTAATCTTGGGAACTACATGCTCTGAAGATCAGGGTCATTATTTTATATAAGTACATATCTCAAAAACAATCTGGATTTTCACTTCATTGGTTGACAAAATGCTGGAACAAAAGCAGATGCCTGCTGTTTGTGAAACCATTGGAAAGTATTTAATTGTATTATATGTTAAGAAAAGTGTTTGTTTCTTCAGTGTGGTGTCAAGCATGGTTGCATGTTCATACATTTTGTTTATTATCAAAGCCAATTTTGCCATTAGATTCCTGTGTTCAGTGTAGTATTTCTAAGGAGTAGTGAATTACTTTCAGAATTGTTTTAATACATTGTTTGAAACCCAATAAAATGGAACTGAATTTCATTTACATTGTGTTTAACTCAAATGCATGTAATGCAATGCACAGATGCCTAAAATGTCTCTGGCCTTGGCATCATCAATAAGTGTGAAAGCATTGATCTGTAAACCCTCCCGTTCATTATTTCACCAAAAACATAAATGTATTTATTTTAATCAATTTGATGGTTGAAAAAATGTGGAGAGAAAATTCAGATGAAAGTGTTAGGTTTCGTACAACTATCTCACACTTTAATTTCAAGGCCTGTATTTAATAAGCAAACAAACAAATTTGTTTACTTTGTAAACCAAAGTAAAAGTCATGGAAAAGCACTTAGTTTAAACACTATAAATATAAATTTATGGTTTCCCGAGTCTTCAACTTTAGCTGTATCAAGAGAGGTAAGCTCCAAATTCAGGTCAAGCAACTATCGGGGAGTGAATCAGTATTGTTGACAATTCAGTACAGGTCCAATCCTTCCTTTTAGCTACAGCTGAACAAAGAGACCAAAATTTGGGTGTGGGCATGAAAAGAATAAGAATGTGTGCTTTTTATTATTGGAATTTACTTAAATTCAGTGTTTGTCTCTGAGCAGGTACTACTTGACTTACCAATGCCCTTTTCAGAGAGACCTACTATTATTACATACAGTAGTAATTAGTAAACATCCAATCCAGATTATCACAACATTGTAGATAACAATCTCCTGTTTATGTATATTTTTCAATCAAAAATAATTACAGATGTCGCCAGGAGATTTAAGACTAATTCTATCATTTTGAAACCAGAGCATTTGCCCTTTTTAACAAAATAGGCACTCCAATATGCAATATAAATGCTGACACTCTCAGAATCCCTATAGTGTGGATACAGATCATTTGGCCCATCAAGTCCACAATGACCCTCTGAAAAGCATCCCACCCAAACTCATCCCCCTACCCTATCTCTGTAACCCTGCATTTCCCATGGCTGACCCGCCTATGGGACAATTTAGCACAGCCAGTCCATGTAACCTGCTCATCTGTGGGACGGAACCTGAGCATCCAGAGGAAACCCACACAGACACTAGGAGAACATTGCAAACTCTGCATAGTTACCCAAGACTGTACCAAACGCAGGTCCGTGGCACTGTGAAGTAGCAGTGCTAACCACTGAGCCACGATGCCACCCCAGAATATATAATGTGAGGTTTCAGTGAGATTGGGAAGGCATTGACCTATGATGAAGCAGTACAAACTGAATGCAAGATAGGCATAACATCTTAAACCACAAAACATTTATGAAAACCTACTTATTTTGCATCCAAAATAACCTTTGTTACACTATGTTGGTGACGTTGAGAATGTCAGTACGTGAAGGACTAAGGACAGTGAAATCAAAAATAATGCAAAAGCTATTAGCAAGGTTTGGAGGAAAGCTTGGAGCCAGAAAGTCATCTTGCATGCTAGTGCAAAACAGGATTAGATTTGTAATTTTGTGCCACTAAGATACATCTGCACCAATGTATCATTTTGGAAAAAGGAAAATGATAATTTCAGTTATCCATTTACAGTCACTGAACTGGTCAAGATCTAGAGATTTAACTTCAGAAATATTAGCTTGTCAGTCCTTACATGAACAGAATGAGTGTAGAATTGAATCATCAATTAAATCAAGACGACGTGGAACTGGATGATGACCAGGAAGGCCATTGAAGAAAAGGAAGAAAATAGTTAAGGGGAACATAAATCGGTGCTTCAAAACAAAGTCTTGAAGATCCCTATTTCCAAATCCCAGATTGTAAGAATAATGTTTGCTTCTTAAGTAGAGGCAATTCGCAATTTTTAAAAGTTGAACCGGTTTCAGACCGTTGTTTTCTATTTGATAAATGCATACCTCTGAAGTGCTACTCATTCGTAGCAGGGATTTTACTTTGGATGGCATTTTCACATCTATTTTATGTGTGGCGATGAAGGTGTTTGGTGACGACTAACATATCACTCCCATGGATGAGATAATTCACCTGTTTACCCAACAATCACTTTATTAAGGGCATATTGCAGGTCTCGACCCTGACAGTTTCCTGGTGAATAGAAAATGTCACCTATTGACAAATCTTGTCCAGCGCCTAATTACTGATATGGAGAGAAGGTGATGTGTTTTTCAGTTATTTCATTTTATCACCACTTCTAGGGAGAGGAATATCATGCCTATGGTTTTGTATTGTACATAGAGTCATACAGTACAGAAACAGATCCTTCAGTCCGACCAGTTCATGCCAAACATAATCCCAAACTAAGCTAGTCTCACCTGCCTGCTCCTGGCCCATATCCTTCCAATCCTTTTGTATTCATGTACCTATCCAAATGTCTTTTGAACATTGTAACTGTGCCCACTTCCTCAGGAAGCTTGTTCCACACATGAACCACCATCTGTGTAAAAAACTTACCCCCATGTCTTTTTTAAATCTCTCTACTCTCACCTTAAAAATATGCCCCGTAGTCTTGAAATCCCCACCCTAGGGAAAAGACACCTACCATTAACCCCATCTATACCCCTCATGATTTTATAAACCTCTAGTCACCTCTCAACCTCCTACGCTCCAGTGAAGAAGGTCCCAGCCTTTCGTTATAACTCAAATGTTCCATATCTGGCTCTTTTTCTCAAATATTGGTTTCAATATGATGACAATAAAATTATGCGTTCATCAGTTTACATTTGTTACCTTTAATAATTGTCCACTTAACCTCCTACACATTCCACATTGAATGTTTACTTGGAGATAAAGATGATGAGATGTGACTATTGCTTGATATGGTGAAAATTGTAAGATAAATTTATATAGCACATGGGGAAATATTATAGTTGGGCTTGTCCAATGCAGAGTCTCCAACATAGAGGGTTTGACCTTGTTTTATTTGATTTGAAATATGCTATTTTTCTTTTGTTGTCCAGCATATGAAAATCTCAGAACTTGGGCTTGTCACACAGTTTGATTGATGTTTGACTACTCTGTGAAGAGAAAGTTGGGAGTTTTTTTTATAACTCCTGTGAGCATCATTGGTAAGGCCAGCATTTGTTGACCATCCCTAACTGCCCTTGAGAAGGTGTTGGTGACCTACTTGAAACACTGCAGTCTGTGGCATGCCCATAGTAGGTAGGCCTACTGTTTTGAAGGAAGGTTCTCGATTTTCGCCCGGTGCCAGTGAAGGAATATAGTTCCAAATTAGATTTTGTAAAATGTATAACTCCTGGTAGAAACAAAAAGGGGGGGAAAAAAATAACGGCACAGTGAAAACACATAGCCTACAGTACACCCTTGGGTATTGAAGAACTGGAGTTTCTACTGAAGGAGGTGTCATTGGCTGTCCCTTGATTCAAAGATGTCCATTATGAGTGTCTTCATGTGACAGAACAGATCATTCTCAACCTTCAGGTCTTTGGACACATAGCATAGGATGTTTCCACAAGATAGTGGGATCCAGAGTGGAAGCATTTGCTTCCTTTTCTTTGTTACCGCTCTGACTAATCCTTAAAGTGTTTGAATTCTGAACTTATTGAAGCTTGATGTGCCAAGTGGTCACCAATTGTAATAACTAGAAGCAGGTTCTTCCCAATCAGTAAAGTTAACACTGCAGCACTTCAAGGAAAGCTTCGGAAGGTATTTGAAGCACTTTCTTTGTCCTTCTTTGAAATGCTAACTATCTGAGAATTGAGAAGACAGGATCTTTTGAGAAAAGCTTTTCAAACATCTGGATAGTGTTCTGTTCATTGCAGTTGATTTTGCAGGAGAAGTGCATGAATGCCTGTGGAGCTGACTTCAATAGGGACCCTAACATTTGTTCAACAGCCCTCCATTTAATCTGGGGCAGAGGCATTGCTGTTATGGGTCACTGATGCACAGTCTGGGTTTCACTGCAGTCTGGGAGCATGGTGACAATAATTGCTCTGTACATAAAATTCTAGTTGTCTTGTGGAGGTCTTAATTGTCAAACACTCGTTGCCTTAGTTTGTAGATTACTGAACAAGCACAGCTTATCCAATGTTTGATTTCCTCTGACGTTGGCCAATTAAGAATGGAAGGTGCCAAGATATGGGAGATACTCAGCATATTCCAGAGCATCTGCTTCAACGCTGGGAGGTGGAATAGCTGGCTGACCAGGTATGGCTTGATAGGAGTTTGTTTGGCATTGAATGTGTGGGTGAACCACAATCAGTGGAAGAGCTGAAAAAAGCATTGAGGCAACTGAAAAGCTAAACAAAGATGGTGACCATGACGATATTCCGACTGAGGCCTTCAAAGCATTCTATTACAGATGGAAAAACAACTTCATGGCCATGAGGGTCTCTGTCAGCCTTTCCTTTCTATTAGAAGGCATTTTCCACTGCTTCTTCCGTCAGCTGCCTAGCCCCAGGAAGGCTGGTGTCACTGAGGTTAGTGATATCTGTTTGGAGCCTTGAAATGTCTCATGATACAATTGCAGATCTTTTCAATGAATTCTTGAGGTTGTCCAGGAGTGCTGAATGCTGTTTGAGGCATCAAGGCTGACCACCAAACACCAAACAAGGACAGGGCTTCATATAAAACTTCTGCAGTCACCCAACACCTGAAATCCAACTGCGAATGAAGAAGCTCTGTGCATGAACTAAGAACATTCTTCACCATTGCATACTTACCTAGCTCATCCAGGTGTCACAGCCTTAAGACGGGAACTCCTGTACCCTTAAGGTTCTAGTATTCCAAGGCTGTATATACACATTGGTGTTTCTCACAAGCTTTTATTGTTCTAAAATTGTGAGGGAACCTCTCTTGTAGGTTGATGGATGTCTTTGGGAACATTTATTCCCTTGCCATTTCTGGGAGTTTAATATATGCAACTTAGATGCTGTATTTCTACATAATGTATTATATTCCAGTATGTGCTTCAAAGGAGAGCAGTAGGGCTAGCCTGATTTCGTGGAAAGTGCAAGATAGATAAGTATTTTATTTTCTTTCAATAATGTTTGCTTGGGCTCATGAGCCAGGGCTACCTTCTGTTCTTAGTACATTTCTACAGTCCTAAGCAGACATCCCAAACCCTGATGCAGGAGAGCCAAAACAGCCTCTGGTCTCATGCTGTTTGCTGCAGCAACCAGTGACTTCACTACGCTGCCCCCTACTAACACCACATGCTTTCTTACTCTCTGCCCTCTCACCTCTCTTGAACAGCTTTTTGTATCATTTGCCATGTTTAGTTTGGGTATCCAACCTGTAGACTTTGCACGCATCCAGACAAGCTGAAGGAACGTCATGCCTGTTAGAAACCTGCAAAGGCTGAGGCTCCTGTGTCCCTGCCCTCTGCATCCCCCTACCTGCCTCACTTACAGTCGCACTTTCCTGTCCCTGAGCCTTGACCAAATCAGATGATCCAGCCCAAAGAATTGTGACTGCCTCCTGATATGAAGAATCCAGGCTTGCTACAAAGAATCCAAGTAACTTTCTCACTCACTGTTGCATCCCAGTATCTGTAGTTCTGCCTCCAGCTCATAATCTCTGAGCTGGAGCTGCTCGGACTTCAAACACTTGTCACAGGCATATTTGCTCTGGACTAAACTGGTGTCAAGGAACTCCCATGTGTTACAAAGCTGATGCATTCACTGTCCTGCCATCCTTATTGTGTTACAAGGAACTGCTTAATTATTTTATTCAATTTTATATATGGTTTTATTTTTATAAATTTTATTAATTTTACCACCAATTGCTTTACAGAATTTTAGGAATAGACTCTCAGTAACTTACCTTGTACTCACCAAATAACCAGAGTCTTTTTCTGTAGCAGAACAGATCTTATTGAATGGCCAAGAAGACTTAACAGACCATGAGACCTACTTCAGTTTCTAATCCATATGCAAGTTATTTGTTTCACTGATTATTATAGATTGAACATTGTCCTCTGCTATATGGTACATGCTGAGCAATTAACTGTGTTATTCTTGTCCCAAGGTCAGAAATCACATGACACCAGGTTATAGCCCAACAGGTTTATTTGAAAACGCAAGCTTTCAGAGCCTCAGTCCTTCTTCAGGTGTTAGTGAGGGAGATAGTATCAGACTCAGAATTTATAAGTAAAAGATCAAAGGTTCACACCATTGATGAGGATGTACTAAACAAATCTAAGATGCTGTTAAATCTTTAATCAGGTAAAGAAGGTTTTAATTGATTAATATGTATATGTAAATCCCCAAATTCTTTTCAAGTCATGGTTCTAAGAGAATTAAAGGTTTTATCATTGTAAAGAAAAGGTGACATTTTAGATGAGACAATACATGTTAGGTGTGAGACCTTGTTTAGAATCTCTTTGTGTTTAGTTTGGAGCCGGACTGGTTTTATTTCTAAAATAGGAATTTATAAAATGTCATATTGACTGCTTATAAATTGTGTGCTTTTTGAACAAAATAAAATGTACCTGCAAATACAAATTCATTCTGTAGATTCACGTTCGTGCATGTATGTGTGTGTGTGTGAGTGAGTGAAGGGGAGAGAGTGAGTGTGTGTGTGGAAGGGGAGAAGAGAGAGAGCGTGTGTATGAGAGACGGGGAGAGAGATAGAGGGGGAGTGTGTATGTGTGTGTGTGCATGCGTGCACGTTTATATTGTGGTGGGGTCACCTGTCATGAGACAAGAGCCCAAGATCCCGGTTGAGGCCATCCTCATGGGTACCAAACTTGGCTACCAGCCTCTGCTCGCCGACTCTATGTTGTTGTGTATCCCAAAGTCCACTCTGGGGAATGTTTACCCGAAGGTCCGAGGCTGAATGTTCTTGACCGCTGAAGTGTTCCCCCATTGGGAGGGAATATTCCTGTCTGGCGATTATTGTGTGGTGTCCATTCATCCATTGTTGTAACGTCTACATGGTTTCACCAATGTACCATGCCTTGGGGCATCCTTGCCTGCAGCGTATGAGATAGATAACGTTGGCTGAGTCACATGAGTATCTGCCATGCACATGGTGGGTGGTGTTCCCACATGTGATGGTAGTGTCCATGTTGATGATCTGACATGTCTTGCAGAGGTTGCCATGGCAGGGTTGTGTGGTCGGTGTTGTCCTGAAGGCTGGGTAGTTTGCTGTGAACAATGGTCTGTTTAAGGTTTGGCGGTTGTTTGAAGGTGAGAAGTGGAGGCGTGGGGAAGATCTTGGTGAAGTGCCCATTGTCATTGATAATGTGTAGAAGGCTGTGAAGAACTTGGTGTAGTTTCTCTGCTCCCGGGAAGTACTGGACGACGAAGGGTACCCTATCGGACATATCCCGGGTTTGTCTTCTGACGAGGTCATTACAGTTTCTCGTTGTAGCACATTGGAACTGGCGATCGATGCCTTGAACATCGTATCCTGTTCCTATGGGGGCGTCCTTCAGCAACTTCAGGTGTCTGTCTCATTCCTCCTCCTCCAAACAGATCCTGTGTATGTGTAGGGTGTGCCCGTAGGGGATGGTTGTTTTAATATGTTTAGGGTGGAAGCTTGAGAAGTACAGCATCATGAGGTTATCCACAGGCTTGCGGTAGAGTGAGATACTGTGGTGTCCGTCCCTGATCGAGATGCAGGTGTCCAAGAATAGACTGATTCTAAAGAGTAGTCCATGGTAAGTCTGATGGTGGGATGAAACTTGTCGATATTTTTCAGGACCGTGACTTGAAAGGAATTTGGGGATTTACATATACGTATTAATCAATTAAAACCTTCTTTAACTGATTAAAGATTTAACAGCATCTTAGGTTTATTTAGTACATCCTCATCAATGGTGTGAACCTTTGATCTTTTATTTATAAATTCTGTGTCTGATACTGTCTCTCTCACTAACACCTGAAGAAGGACTGAGGTTCCGAAAACTTGTGTTTTCAAATAAACCAGTTGGACTCTAATCTGGTGTCGTGTGATTTCTGACCTTGTCCACCCTAGTCCAACACCGGCACCTCCACATTCTTGCCCCGTTAAGTAATGGTCATCGTAGAATCCCTAACAGTGTGGAAACAGGCCCTTCGGCCCAACAAGTCCACACCAATCCTCAGAGCATCCCACTCAGACCCATCCCCCTACCCTTTCGCTGTAACATATCTAACCTACACATCTCTGAACACTACAGGCAATTTAGCATGCCAATCCATCTAACCTGCACATCTTTGGACTGTGGGAGGAAACCGGAGCACCCGGAGGAAACCCATGCAGACACGGGGAGAATGTGCAAACTGCACAGAGACAGTCGCCTAAGGCTGGAATTGAACCTGGCACTGTGAGGCAGCAGTGCTAACCACTGAGCCACCATGCTGCCGTTATGGTAGTGTTAATTTGGGAAATAGTGACTGCTATTAATTTTAATATATTGTTGAATGTTCTAGCAAAGGTCTCTGTATTAAATGTCCCAGGAAATGATAGTGTAATAAGCAATGGCATAACTCATTCATACCAAAATATCCAAGCGTTTCAGCACCACGATAATAACGATGTATGCTGCAGACAATGGCAAAGGTTTCCGTAAAATGACAGCTCAGTGTAACTTGGCTCCGTGGATTCTGAATGTTGCACCTAGCAGTCCCTGTCTATCTAAAGAGTAAATCTCTTAGCACTACTGGTGTGGGACATGAACTTTCAGATGTAGGGAAACATCCTGTTACTCCAATATTCAAATTTCTGCTCCTATATGCAGTAATTTTGTAGGAAATGAAAACAGTAGAAAAAAATTAATATGAAAATAGAATGTCTATGTTAGACTACTCAGCAAGGCAGGCAAGATCAAGAAAACACAGGACAAACTTTTCAGGTGAAGTAGAAAGATTTGGAGATGCAAAGCAGAAAAAATCTGACAAAAGCTTTTAACAAAGATTCTGAAGCCAACAAAATGCACTTATAACTGTCATTTCCTTCCCTAATGTTAAGACCCTCCCTTTTCGCGACACAGGAAATAGGGTGAAAGTGAAACTTGAAACAAAGCATACCAGTACAGTGCTACTTTAAAGCACCTCATTTTCTTTGATTTGGTTCCTTATCAACAAAATAGTGGATTTATTACTGTGATAATCCTTTGAGTAAAAGGTAAGGTAATCAGATCCTATAATTCAATTGCAGGTGGCTTACAGTTGATGCCTTTATTGAATCTTGATTGTTGAGGTTATGCCTGAGAGTGAACATTGGTAGTTTGTAAATGCAGCAGGCCAGCAATAGAATGCAGTGGTTTGTACACAACACAGCAGCATGGCACATTTAGCACATGGAGCATGTGTACATGTACAGTCCCTGCTGCAGTACCAACCACATACAATGTCCTCACTGCCAGCTAGTTTGCACGTGCACAGTCAGGCTGCATGCCACCTACAATTAGGTCTGTATTACCTACTTTGTCTTTTTCCTTCTAGGTGACACAGGTTCCTGATTTAGAGGATGCTGTTGAGTTCTTGCACTGAATCTTGTACATGGTGTTCACTGCAGACATTGTGCAAAAGTGGTGATGGGAGTGAATGTTTAGGGTGGTGAGTGGGATCCTGATCAAGTGATCTACTTTTTCCTGAATGATGTCAAACTTCTTCAGTGTTTGAGCTGCACTCAACCAGGAAAATTGCCAGAATTCCAACATTCTTGAAAATAGGCCTTGGAGCTCATGAACAGCCCTTTGGGAGTCAAGAAGTTTGTTACTCACTGCAGAATTACCAGCCTCTGACCACAATATCCACACTATTTGTATGGCTGGTCCAGTTGCATTTCTGGTCAATGATGCCTCCCTCAGGATGATGATGGTTGGGGTGGGGTGTCAGCATTAAGCATCAAGGGGAAATGGGAAATGTCTGGCATTTGTCTGGCGTTTATCTTACTTCCACTTATATGTCTAATTCCGGATATCCAGGGTGTGCTCCAAGTGAGTAAGGACTGCTTCAGTATCTGAATAATACTGAACACTCTGCAGTCTTCCCCTCTTCTGATCTTATGATGGAGGAAAGTTGTTTGATGCAGCAGCAAAACATTTGGGCCTAGCACACTATCTGAAGAACTGCTAACATCAATATCTTGGAACTGAGATGGTTCCCCCCTAATAATCCAACAATTTTCCTTCGAACTAGGTATGATTCTAACTAATTTCCTCCTGATCCTCATTCAATAACTTTGCTGGGGTTCAGATGAAGGCAATCACAATCAGGTCACCTTTGAATTCAATTCATTTGTCCATGTCTGGGCAAAGACTGCAATGAGGTTTGGAACTGATGCTGCTGAAGTTGAGAATGTGAATGAGTTGATTGTGAGTATGGGCTATTTGATAGTATTGTCAATGACACCTTCCATCACATTGATGATTGAGAGTTGACTCATGGGGTGGTAAATGGATTTGTCCTTTTTTTATCATCTGGAAATGCCTAGACAATTGTCTACCCTGTCTGGAGATGCCCATATTGTAGTTGAACTAAATTAACATGGCTAGTTCTGGAGTAGAATTCTTTGGTTCTATTGCTGGAATGTTCTCAGGGCCTAAAGGCTTTGCTGAATCCAGTGCCTTCAACTCTTTCTTGATATCTTAATGTGAACTGGATTGGTTAAATTGGTGATATTGGGAACCTCAAAAGATGATCATCTTTTCAACACTTTTGGCTGAAGGTGAGTGAGGTGAGGTGGGTGATGCTGTAGTTGGTGATATTCAGCAGGATGTTTTCTGGCTCCTAGCTTGACCTGACGCCATGCGACCTCATGGGGTCTGCCATCAATCAAGATAATAACAGAGCCACTCTCTTCCTACTGTATATCGTTGTACTGCCCACCACATCTAGTGGTTCTGTCCTGCTGATAGGACATACCCAGTGACCGTGGTGTCTGAGACACCATCTGTAAGGTATGACTCTGTGAAAATGACTCTGTGAGATAGTTCTCCCAATTTTGGCAAAGCTTCCAAACCCTGGGGAGGAGGTTTTTGTGGGGTTGAGTAGACTGGGCCTGCTTTTGTTGTTTCTGTCCCCTAGTTCAATGCTATGTTGTAAGTTGGCCTTTTTCTGTTTTGACCTTACCGTAGTGGTTTGATATGAATGAACATCATGCTAGGCTTATCAGAGGACAGGTTAAGAGCCAATCACATTATTGTGACTCTGGCATCAGATTTCCATTCCCAAGAAGCATCAGTGAACCAGATGGGGTTTTATAACAATCCAGTAATTTCCTTACTATATTTTGTATGGCCCTGTAAAATTGGGTTAAATGGTAACATGACCATCACCTTCCCTTCTGTCACTGACTTCTTACCTGCAGCGAGAGGGTGGTGGAAGGCCTACTTTTATTTAACAATACAAAGCCCTTAAACAACCATCAAGGGTCAAAAGGGCCTTTCCCTGCGGCCATGTGTGGCACTTAGTCAGATAAACCCTGGTGACCACCCTGTGGGCTCAGAGCTGGGGGCTTTGGGGAATCCCAACTGATCAAACAGCCTGTGGCCCATGGAAAGTCCCCCAGTGGAAAGGGCTGCCCCATTTGAATGGCACCCACCCTGCAACCTTACGATCAACACTCCTTCATTGGCGTTAGCCTGACTGACTGCCCTCCCTCCCCAATCAGGCCAATCTGCTATCTTAACTGGCTTGCTCCATCTTGCTATCTGAGACTGCTGCAATACCAGCAGTGACCATCACTCCTGGCTGTGTTTCTGGTGCTGAAGAGCAGCCAATCCACTGCTTGCATGTTAGCCCTTTGTTGGTAGGACATCCTCTCATAAAGAACCATTAACTGCCTGATGAATTGCTGGAAGGGCTCCTTACTGGTGGCAACAGGATCCCTCCTGACTTTATAATCAGTGGATGGGGCCCACGGCTGCTGCCCTGTAAAATCCCAGCCGTGGTCTTTGAATAAAGTCATAGGTGTATCGAAGATTGAGGCCTGGAGCAGTGTCCTCAAAATAGCAGCAGCACTAAGCAGAACTTGCAACTCAAATATTTTCTTTCAAAGAATTTGAACTGCGATAACAAAATGGATGAGTGTACCATACAGTCTACTACAATTTTAGCAAAAACTTGGTGATCCACTGCCACTCTGGTCAGCTTTACTGGAATGGAATATTGCACAGACAATAATACTTTAACTGAATAAGATGAAATCTGACATTTGCAAAAGGTACTGTTGTAACTTTTACCAAAAATGTGTCATTTAACCACAAAAGTTTTGACATTTAGATTTGTGGAAATTTAATACTTCTTTCAGTCTGAAGAAATGCGTAGTCAATGATTCTAGAAGTGTAGCAAGCACTGCCTGGAAGGGTAGCTGATGTGGGAAACCACACAGTGTTCAAAAAGTGCTTGGATGAGTACTTGAAGTATCATAAGGTTTAAGGCTATGGGGCTAGTGCCAGAAAGTGGGACTAGTGTTGGTAATAGCATACTTTTAGCAGTAAGGTCTCAGTGGGCTGGACAGCCTCTTCTGTACTGTATGATTCTATGAATGTTCTTCTATAGCTGTTTTACAAATTTTATTAGAAAAGAGAATAATATCTTGTGCTGTACATCTGAAAGAACTTTTTGTTCACAATGGGAGTAGGCTTTTCAACTGTTGCTTTTGCTGTTCATGTGTGGTTACTGTGGGGCTTTCTCACAATTAAAAATGTTAACCTCAGTTAATTTTGTTTAAAGCACGGCACCTCTTCAACCTACGTGGAGCAACAGGCTGCTGGCTGAATGCTTGTAGCTGGCCTCAGGCTCTACTGTGAACATGACTGTCAGACCCAGCTATAGTCACATTCTACAGTCATCCTGGCCACAGAGCACCTGCTCAGAAAGACGTGATGGCTGACATCTACCCACAAGACATCTGCACTTGCACAGAAATCGTAGAAGGTTCACACATTATAGCTGCAGATGCTGAAAACAATAGTGCAGGCAGCATCTGTAGAGGCAGAAACAGAGATCACCAACTATAGAAGATGTTAAAGATGAGCAAATAGAGAATCAGGAAAACAGGATAGGCAAAGAATGAAAAGGAGCAGTTTGTGATGGAGTGGTAAGTAGGAGACAGCAAACAACAAACCAGCGCAAGGCAACAGGAGGTTCTAATGAGAATAGTGCAAACCAAAAAGTGGGCTCTAGAGGAGGTGTAAATAGCCACAGCCATAAGGAGAAGGTTTTTTGAAAACTATAACTGTAAATGAAGGTCAGTCAGTAGATTTCAGGGTGTAGACCACACTGCTGGCTGTGTGCTAAGTTGTATTTCCCATCCCAAGCAGCATCCATAGACTCTCCAAACCCAATTACCCTGAGGCAACCATCCTTACAGGTCGCAACCTGTACCAGCCTAAAAGAAAATGATACCAATGACCTTTAATCCATCAGGTTTGTTCCTCTCGCAGGTTCATACCTCTTACCTAGGACTTTCCCTAACTCATCAAACAAGGACAGAAGGCTGTGGAATATTTAAACATCTTTGTCCTTTACGGCTTTCCTTTCTATTCCCAGATCGATGTTTTGTTCTGTAGTTTTTTTTTGGAAAGTACTTAATAAATGTATTTTTGTGGAAGTCTGTTCATACTTGTATCTCTGTGGAAGCTGTAGTGTGTGTTATTGCTCTGCTTTTAAAGTTTCTCTGAGTCTTCTAATCCATTTCTCGATTTGGAGCATTTTAAAACATTGCAGAGATCTAATACTTGTTCCTTTTCCAGCTATAGAAAACCACAATGGAGAATATTCGAAGGTCAAAACTTAATCTTCTTGAATGGTTAACCAATGATCCAGATTTTATTCTACAAGTGGTACAAGAAGATGGTCTAATTACTCAGCGAGAGTATCAAAAACTGAAGGCAGAGAATGATCCTGAAAAAAGAATCATAAATCTTCTTGATATTGTAATTGGAAAAGGCAGTTCATCCTGTGAGCACTTCATGCGTGTTCTGCAGAAAGATAAAGTTAAAGAGACCTATCCAAAGCTGACAGAATGGCTTTCACATAGAGAACAAGGTAAATTGTGCCATCTATTATTCCAAATTTTCTTAAATTTTCCAAGTTAGACCTTAACTGTAATATGCTTGCATTTAACACTAATGTAAGTGCAGTTGTTATTCTTCAAATATTCCTACAATTCTTCATTTTTCTAGTCATTCACTTAATTTAGTTACACTAACAGTTAGACAGCCTGTTTTGCTTGTAACCTAATAAATTATGAAATTGGTTAATTAATTAATTTAAACGTAAATCTTGACTACTGTGAGGAGTTGGATGCAGTAGAAAATTCCTCTTAATTACTTGGTTTATACTGTACCTGTTGGAATAGAATATGTACTTTTTATGGTAATCAGTGCATCCTCACAAACATTCCCTGTCCATTTACCTGCATCTTGATAGATTGGGATGGTTTTGATATTAATTTAAGCTTCCTTTCCTGCTGATAAACACTATGATATATCCTACTTTCATCCAAAGCTTATCTTTGTCCTCTACTGCAATTGACTGGCAATTAATTGCCACTGGTGGTGCATTAATCCAACTCTTGCTGTTTTAATGTACTTCCACTGTGAACCGAATGGCTTCTGAAAATAAAATGAAAATCAAAATGCCTTGTGCCTGTGCTTGATGTTATAGAAAAAAAATTACAAAATTGATCATTTCTCTTTCAAGGAGGTTTCAAGTCGACCCGAGAATGTTATATTTGTGGGGTTTCTTAAAATGGAACAGAATCCAACTCAAAAAATAAATAATAAAATTTGAATTTTTTGAAATCCCTTTCTGAAAGTAATTTCGACGGAATCAAATCTTTGATATTTCTTGCTATTTGATCACCCACTGACTTAATGTCTACCTCACACTTGTCCATGTAGAATTTTTAATTAATTGTTTAAACAGCAAATAAAATGGAACCTCATGAAATCCATTCCAATCGTCATTCCAGTGCTAAATTTATTTGAGAAGTTGCACAATGGACTGAAAATAGTCAGAAGGTGAAGAAGTCATTCCACATCAATATAAATACCTTGCGTTCTAGTTTAGAGCTAGGAACAGTTTAACTATGAAACTATGAGACTATGAATAGGAAGCCTTGTGTACTTAAGTTGCACTAATCACTGGTACAGCATTTGATTTCCTCTTCCACAAAGTAATTCCCAGGTAGATCTCTGAAAGCAAAAAGGATTATCATTGATGAATTGTTCAGTGAATTCCCATTTTTGTAGCTCTAATGTTGTTATTCCTCACCTCAGCATTCAAGATGTGGCAGCTGAAATGAATACCACATTCACACAGAGCTCTAACTTGTTTAAAACAATGATTAATACTTTCATTTATCAACATGGCAGTGTCCCTTAAACACAGCTATTAAAGTCATACAGCCACAAAAAAAATTACAGGAGCATTTTTACTGAAATATGTCCCGGGACATTCTAAAATTAACACATTGTTACTGCATCAAACAGATTAGAACAGGTACAAAACAGAGGCATATTCTATCTAACATCTGAAAGGACAAAGACTCTGTTGCACTGATCGTAGCACAATTTGCATTTATAAAGAGTTTTTAATGTACCACGTGCTCCACAGGAGAATTATCAAAGAAAATTAGACACCAATCCACATAGAGTAGGACATGTGACTAAATCCCTAGAAAATTGCTAGGTTTTAAGGAGTACCTTAAAGGAGGTAAAGAGCTAATGAGCTGAGGTAGGGACAGAGTTGGGCAATGTTTCAGAGATGGAAATAAGTAGTCTTGGTTTCTGTGTTGTCAGAAGATAACCTTGGGATCAAATAAAATGCCAAGTTTGTGACCAGTCTAGTTCAGTATCAGGCATTTGCCAAGAAGAAGAATGGAAGCAATGGCAAAAGAATGAAGTTGTTTGGTGGGAACCAAAGAGGGCATGGGTTCCGTCTCTACAATATTTAACTGGAGGCCAGTTTAACTCATTCAGTACCGGGTTTTGTACAAGGACCCTCTCTGGGTAGGGACTAAGAAGAATTTGAAAAACATGGTGGTGATGGCATAGATTTAGGTGTCATAAGTGCACAGGTGGAAGCTGACACAGTGGGGTGAGTTTCCCTCAGAAAGGTGTTACTGGAGAAAGGCTTGTCAGAAGAAATGTTTCCTGGGTTCAACTTCTCGATGTGTAACTGCCTGGAAGCAGTGAGCAGTTAATTAAGTCTGTTATAGCACCAATTAACCATATTTTCCGAGTCAATGGCAGGCTGTTGGAAGTGTATCAGATACCCATTGTGTCTGTAGCTCATCTCCTCAAAGAAGGCAAGAGCCCGGTTGGAGGTCAGAGCACAATGAAATAAATATGCAAAGTGATCTTTACATCAACATATAGGTTTTATCCAACACGTTCATAATCAAATGTTTTCAAGTGAAGTTTTTCTCCATCTGATAGTTCTGGGCATTCCGATTTTTCTGTCTGTTCCAAAATAAGTAGGCATGCCCTGCAAATACCGTATATACTCCTGTAAAAGTCAATTTTTTTTGACTGTTTTTAAGGTTAAATTTATGGGGTCGACTATTACATGGATACTATTTTTGAGGGGCTGAAATTCATGCTACAGTCCAAAATACCGTAATCATTAGCAGAAGCCCAACTGATCTCTAAACGAATAAAGAGAGAAAAAAATACAACGATTTACGGTAATTACCGGATAAAAACAATAGAAACAGAAGTGAATTAGTAAGCTTTTATTTATACATACAAAAAGTGAAGTAGAAATATAATACGGCTTTAAATTACAATTACATGGTACAACTTAAATTAAACAAATTTAATTAACCTCTTAAAATTATCCTTCTTTCTACCGATTTGTGATTACCAACTGGTAAAACTTTAATATCTTACCTTCTAGTTCAGCAGGCAGGTTTAGTGCAATCTTAGTTCTCTGCTGAAATACTAAATCATGCTTTCTCATGAACCTTGTGCACCATCCGCCACTTGCCTTAAAATCTGAAATTCCATCCTTTATTGGTTTGTTTCATGCATGGATTCAGATGGCTTCACAACTAACACATTTTCCATTTTGGCGATTTTCAAGTACTCACTCAGCAACTTTTTCTCCAATTGTGGCCACTTGCTAGGTTTACCTCTGTTGGCACACTTTCATTCTGTCATTGTCTGAAGTTGGTTCAGTATCTTTCTATAGTCTCTCACAAGTTTCTCAGAAACACAAAATTCTCTTGCTGCCTCACAGTAATTTGTCTTGTCTGCAACTTCAATAACTTTTAGTTTAAACGCTGCTGTATACTTTTTTGTTTTTTCTGGAGGGCATTTTTACACAAAATGATGAAGAAACTTCAAAACCTCAACTAGGTATGTAACTGTATTCTACGAGGGGAGCTGAGCTACACACAAAGGGAGTTTGTCACCTGACTCTGACCTGATGCATCTTAAACTTTTGCGCCAAATTGGTGTGAATTGTATATCAAAACACATAATAGCACAAAAAAATTCATTTCATCATTGTAACATTTATGTACAGGATAATACCTTGACTCAGAAATATTGATCTGTTATCTGTGAAGAACTAGGGTCAAATTTTACACAAGATATATGGAAAATTCCAGATTTTTTGGCTAAAAATTGAGGGTCAACCAAATATCCAAGGATACATGTCCTATTGAAAGGACAGACAGATGGGCTGAGGGAGCGAGGTTGCCTTATTAGTAAGAAATGAAATTGAGTTGATAGCAAGAAGTGATATCGAGTCAGAAGGTATAGAATCTGTTTGGGTAGAGTTGAGGAACTGCAAAGGAAAAAAGACTTTGATGACATTTGCATACAGGCCTTCGAGCAGTAGTAGGGTGTGGAGAAGAAACTAAATCAGGAAATAGAAAAAGCATGTAAGAGAGGCTCTATTGCAATCATCATGGGGACTTCAGTATGCAGGGGAATTGAGAAAATCAGGTTGGTAGCAGATCCCAAAAAAAGGAATTCATGGAATGTCTACTAGATGTTTTTTTTTGGAGAAACTTATCGTAGAGCCCACTAGGGAACAGGCAGTTCTGGATTTGGTGATGTGTGATGAGGCAGACTTGGTTAGGGAACTTCAAGAGAAGGAACCCTCAGGGGCGGTGACCATTATATGGTAGAATTCACTCTGTAGTTTGAGAGGGAGAAGATTGAAGCAGATGTAATAGTATTACAGTTGAGTGAGGACAATCCAGAAGGCGTTTACAAGAATGATCCCAGGGATGAAGGATTTGTCAAATGAGGAGAGGTTGAGCATTTTGGGTCTGTACTCTATACAGTTGAGAAAGATGTGGGGGTATCTGATTGAAACTTACAGGATGTGGAGAGGCCTGAATAGAGTGGGCATAGAGAATATGATTCTGTCAGTAGGACAGACTAGGAACTGAGGCCATAGCCTCAGATTGAAGAGACGGCCCTTTAGAACTGAGATGAGAGTTACTTCAGCGAGGGTAGTTAATCTGTGGAACTCATTGCTGCAGAACGCTGTGGAGGTCAAGTCATTGAGTCTACTTAAGACAGAGATAGATCGGTTCTTGATTGGTAAGGGGATCAAGGGTTTTGGGGAGAAGGCAGGCGAGTGGTAGGATCATAGAATCCCTACAGTGTGGAAACAGGCCCTTCAGCCCAACAAGTCCACACCAACCCTTGGAGCATCCCACCCAGACCCATCCCCCTATAACCCACACACCCCTGAATACTACGGGCATTTAACATGGCCAATCCACCTAGCCTGCACATCTTTGGACTGTGGGAGGAAACCAGAGCACCTGGAGGAAACACACGCAGACACAGGGAGAATGTGCAAACTCCGCACAGACAGTCACCCGAGGCTGGAATCGAACCTGGGTCCCTGGTGCTGTGAGGCTGCAGTGCTAACCACTGAGCCACCGTGCCGCCCGAATGGTGTTGAGAAACAAATCAGCCATGATCGGATGGATTGAGTGGAGCAGACTTGATGGGCCAAATAGCCTAACTCTGCCCCTATATCTTATGGTCTTAAGGTATAGTAAAGATGTCTGGCTGCAATTATATAGGGCATTGGTGAGGTCACATCTGGAATATTGTGTGCAGTTTTGGTTTCCTTATCTGAGAGAGGATGTTCTTGTGAGAGAGGGAGTGCAGCGAAGGTTGACCAAATTGATTCATGGGTTGGCAGGACTGACACATGAGGAGAAATTGAGTTGACTAGGATTGTATTCACTGGAGTTTAAAAGAATGAGGGGGTAATCTCATAGAACCATGTAAAATTCTAACAGGGCTAGGCAGGTTAGATGCAGGAAGGATCTTCTCAATTAAGGGGCAGTCCAGAACTAGGGGTAGTAGTTTAAGGAAAAGGGGCAAGGCTTTTAGGGCTGAGATGAGGAGAATTTTTGTCACCCAGAGAGTGGTGAGCGCAGAGAATTCACTACAGAAAGTAGTTGAGGCCAAAACAGTATGTTTTCAAGAAGGAGGTTTGCTAGCAGAATCAAGGGATATGAGCAGGATTAGTGTATAGACTTCGATGATCAGCCATGATCATAATGAATGGTGCAGCAGGTTTGAGGGATTGAATGTCTAATCCTGCTCCTATCTTCAATCTTTCTATGTTTCTGTAAAGTCGTTCCATTACAATTAATGCGCTGAATAACTAAAATTAAATTCTATTTAAAATTTCTCATTGTTTCCTGTTAATTTTCTGCAGTGATTAAGCTTAGTGGACAACATATTATCAACGCTGATGTTCATGCTGCTGGAGGTTCCTTTGTTGTGTGTCCCATAATCCAAACTGATCAACATTTGAGTACCTCAAGTGTCAGCATACCTTTGAATATTGGTTCACCCAGGAATGACAGGAGTCTGCCAAACAGTCTGACTTCAGGTAAATAATTAGCAGACATCTGTGCTATAAATAAATATCTGTTAATTGTTTATTTTTGTGCAGTGTCCTGCATTGCTCATGATGGTACTTTGGTAACATCTTGCTTAGGAGATTTTTTTTAATAACCTGAATGGCAAAACTAGTCTACTTTGATGTCTGTAGCCAATCATTACTTCTGATTGGGCTCCCTTTCAAAATGGTTGGAAAGATTGTTTTGCGACTTACTTTAGTCAAAATAGAGCATTTCAAATAAACCTGATTACATCTCATCTAACATTCATAGAGAAGGAAAGTAAATTATCACCACCTATGCAATGCGAAAACTCAATAAGCCCAGGCTTAGAAAAATGACCTCTCAATGTTGACTTCTTGTGCTGAATTGTCCACAATAGAGGCTGATCTGGACAACCTGCACAATTTAACATCTGTTTCCACTGGTTTGTGACTGGTAAATATTAAAAGTTGGTGGAGGAGGATTTGACAGCTGTATTCCAAGATTATACTAGTGTTCCATCATAAAGCTTATATGATTGTTCTGGACTCTCTGAAATTAAAGATAAAAATTTATGCACTCTACTTTGAACATCCCACTGAGTTAAAAAAAATGAAATCCAATTCCTATTACTGATTTTGTTTGCAGTTAGTACAACAAAAATATAATGTAATACATTTCAAAAGTATATATAAATATATAACATTTAAACCACTTTCTCTTTAATAAATAATGATGAATGTGGTCTGTAAAAAAAGAAATTGTTTCAAGAAAAATGTTTACATTTTCATAATCCAATGTTTGTTGTGCATGCTGCCACCAATATCTTCTAGCTGTAGCTTCTTCAAGGGCCGGCGAGATCTACTGGGATAGGGAGAGCCACCTTCTAATCTAATGAGAAGAATCTCTTGTAATTAACAAGATATAATTTATTGCATCTCCTCAACTATTTACGTGTTATGTGTAAATGGCATGTATTATTACAGAGAATGTTAGGACTTCTTCAAGATCTTAGTCTTCCCTCCAGTCCTCATGCCATTTTCACAGTGGTTAATGCTTGTGGCATTCAGTCAGACTCTTTTATATCTCCCCCAGAATTATTTTTCTTATTGCTTTATCGTTATAGATTTATTTGTATAAATAGACTTACCACCAATGCATCTTCCTACCTCCAATTGGAGTCATAGAATTATACTGCATGGAAACAGACCCTTCGGTCCAACCAGTCCATCCCGATCATAATCCCAAACTAAATTAATCCCACCTGCCTGCACTTGGCCCATATCCCTCCAAACATTTTTTATTAATGTTCTTATCCAAACATCTTTTAAACATTGTAACTGTGCCCACATCCACCACTTCCTCTGGAAGTTCATTCTGCACATGACCACTATTTGTGTAAAACAATTTGCCCTTTAAGTCTCTTTCAAATCTTTCTCCTCTCACCTTAAAAATATGCCCCTTAATCTTGAAATCACCCACTCAAGAGAAAAGACACCTGCCATTCACCCTATTTATACCCCTCATGATTTTATAAATCTCTATAAGATCACACCTCAACTTCCTAAGCTCCAGTGAAAAAACTCCCATCCTATCCAGTCTCTCCATATAACTCAAACCCTCGAATCCCAGCAACCTCCTGTTAAATCTTTTCCAAACCCTCTCCAGCTTAATAATATCCTTCCTGTAACAGGGTGACCAGAACTGAACACAGTATTCCAGAAGAAGCCTCACCAATGTCCTGAACAATCTCAACGTGACATCCCAACTCCTATACTCAAAGGTCTGAGCAATGAAGACTCTGCCTACATGTGACACGAACTTTAAAGAGTTATGTGCCTGAACCTCTAGATCTCTCTGTTCTACACCACTATCCAAGGCCCTAATTTTATTTGTATAAGTCCTGCCCTTGTTTGTTTTACCAATACCTCACATTTATCCAAATTAAACTCCGTCTGCTACTCCTCAGCCCATTGACCCAATTGATCAAGATCTCTTTGTAATCTTAGATAACATCGTTCACTGTCCATTATACCACCAGTCTTTGTTTAATCCGCGAATTTACTAACCATGCCTTCTTATATTCTCATTTAAATCATTTACATAAATTCTTTGTCTTTACAAATTCAAATGACTAGGAGCCTTCATTATTCTTCTTGAACGTGTTTTTTTTTGAACTTGGAAGAAATGGTAGTTTGTTGGGTAGAAGATAATTGTATTTTACTTCTTCCTTATGTTCTTTCTAAACTGAAGGAGCTTAATTTCTTGGATTTTTTACACAGAGGACATTGTCGCTGCTAGAGTAGGTGATTTTTCTTTGCAATGTCCTGAATCTTCAGATAGTGCTGGCCTCTTCTTAGTGGGGGCTTTCGTTGAGCTGGATGTGCCAGCTGTGCAATCTGTGTCAGTTGATTTTTGTTCTCAGAGTCTGCCATTGGATCTGTCCTGGAGTGGGCAGAGCTATTACTTTAACTTGCTGATTAGTTTGGATTTTCTCATCCAACCTCAGTGATTGAACTATTGGTGAAACCAATTTCTTCACTTCCTCAATTTCATTACTTGAAGATTAATTCTTGTGTTATGTAATGTTTGTTATCATGGTCGAGGATTCTTCTTACGAAGGTAGGGAGGTCAGATATTAGACTTATCTCTTCATAGCGATTTCAGATGTGATTTGAAGTTGCCAAAACTACTTGTTGATTGTGTTGTGTTGCAATCTGACTTACTTCAGTTACAGTTTTCTCAATTATCTCCAGTGGGGTATACTGTTCATTGTCTGCTCCTTTCCCTGAGTTTCCTCACAAACCTAGTTGCCTCCCTTTAGGAGTCTGAACTTCCTCCAGTGATGCATCACTGAAATGAAATATTTCTGACATATGAACTTGCACTTTTATGATCTTACTGGCTGATTCTTGCTTTTCAAGGCTTTAATGAAGAATCTTCCACATCTTCCACATTTCACAAAAGTTTGCCTAAATATCTTGGTTAGATCAGAGCTGCTCATGCCTCTAATTTGCCCAACAACTATCTGCTTTTAATTAGTATGCTCATAATGTCCCTGATATTCTGATACCAGATTACACGTTTCTGCCTTAGCCCCGTTATTTCAGTTTTGTCTAACCATGCCTCATGACATTTGGGTGGTATGGTACTGACATAGAATCTGAGCTGTTACTTGTTTTTAAATTGTTGTCCTTCCAAACTGACTTACTGTACTGCGTAAAGTGTCCCCTTTAGATCAAGACTTTTTTCTTTTGACTCACACAACCATGTTGTGGGCAGCACGGTGGCTCAGTGGTTAGTACTGCTGCCTCACAGTGCCAGGGCCCCGGGTTCGATTCCACCGTTGGGTGACTCTCTGTGTGGAGTTTGCACATTCTCCCTGTGTCTGCGTGGGTTTCCTCTGGGTGCTCCAGTTTCCTCTCACGGTCCAAAGATGTGCAGGCTAGGTGGATTGGCCATGCTAAATTGCTCATAGTGTTCAGGGATGTGTAGATTAGGGGATGCGTCTGGGTGGGATGCTCTGAGGGTCGGTGTGGACTTGTTGGGCTGAAGGGCCTGTTTCCACACTGTAGGGATTCTATTCTATTCTATACAACCTCCAATGTCTGTTTGCTTACCAGCTGATCTTGGACTCAGGACCTGACTTGAATTGCAACCTGTATCTCTGCCTTGGAGCAGCAGATTCTTTTGGTTATAGCATGTCTCTTAGCCAGTCTGAAATGCTTTCTGCAGTCCTTCGAAGTATTCTTCAGTGTTGAATGTTGTCACAGGATTTTCTACTTGAGGGTTCATCAGACCTTCAGATCTCTATGGATGATCTTCACAGAGTTGCCCACTATACTGAATGTGTACACACCTCAGTCTTCATATTTCCTTCAGTTCATAACTGCTGACCATCATGTTGCTTGGTCAAACTAAAGCAAATCTTCTGATCTCCATTGTTGCTCACCCTTGTGTATGTGTCGTCACCAATATGTCCAAGGTATACATTCTTTAAAAGCCTGGATAGTCTAGTGGGATGAGGATATCTACCTTCTAGTATAACTAAAAAGAATCTCCGACAGTAAAACATGGATATGATTTATTGTATCTCTGCAACTATTTACATGGTAGAAGAATACAGTATGCACTCTTACAGACACTTTTAGGTGGACCTGGTCCTATATCTGATTCTTCAAGATCCTGAGTTAGTTTGTTCACATGACATAGTAGGTTGTGCTTATGGCACAAAATCAGTGTTGAACCTTTCAGATCCATGTACAACAATATCCTTCCCCCTCACGTATTGCAATTAATCAAAACTGTTATAATCTAAACTATTTTAAGACTGACATTACGCACTATGAAATATTTTGGTAACTACAGACAAGAAGTGTGACCTTTTACAAATAATTTGCTGAAAGAATGAAATATTTATTATATATGTAATTAACTAAAATCGTCAAGAGTCTAAAATGTTTAAAATAATATCTTGTTTACAGGTTCCACAAAGGAAATAAGTGTCAAAGAGTTGGAGGATAAAGTAGCAGGTAATTAATTTTACTGTTGAATTAAAACAGGTAGAAGATGTGACAGATACGGCATAATGGAGGGTTGCTAATCCTCCAGGTTTGAGCTGAGGACCCCAAGCCTCAATAGTTAATCTCTCAAACATTGCTGTGAGCAAGCCAGAAAAAAGTACATTTGGCATTTTAAAAAAATGTGGGCGGTATTTCAATTTTCTTAAAACACTTTTGCTAACTATTTGTGTAGAAAAACTAGTAACAGGAATTAAAAGGGTGTTTTTCTAGACATAGAGGTTGGAGCAGCAGGTTATGTGTTGAAGCTTTAATCAGTCTTGCAAGTCCTATATCATTGATGTATGTCAATAACAAATATTGGAACATTGTATTCTGTACACAGACACTCAATCATGTGGTGTTTCAGACAACCTTAACCACATCTTCTACATTTGACTGTTTTTTTTCCAAACCACGTAATAATGACAGGATTAAAACATCCTGCAAAGTTTTAGTTGAAATATTGGACTGACTGAACAGAATTTACCTGAACCAGAAGTGTGAGAACTTTTTTGGTTGACTCACGTATTCATTCCTGCCATTTGGCTCCAATAACAAATGGGAGAAGTTACATCCCTTTCAGGCAGGTGAGATGGCAGGAGTTTTCACTGGCTGCATTTTGTGTACATTTACAAAGGAAACCCTAACACTTATCTCCAGTGAAAGTTGCCGAACCTCTTGCTGAGCAGTTGAACCTGTCTATTTTGATACAGAAATTCACTGCTGTTAGAATTCAAGGCCAAAGTCTGCCTGACAATGAAGATGACAGACGGCTTTTAGTTTCAGTCAGCCAGTGGAGATTCTTTCAATGTTGCCCTCAACAACGTGTAAAGCATACAGTTGGGCCACTGAAGGATAGAAAAAAAATTTATGTGATGAAACCTATTTTGTGTTGCCAAAACTCGGAACTAGCTCAGGAAATTGGTTAGCTGCAAATTTGCTACCGATACTATTGAAGCACCACACTAGCCTATGTATTGGTTACATTGTCAAAAATTACACAACACCAGGTTATAGTCCAACAGGTTTCTTTGAAATCACAAGTTTTCGGAGGTGATGTCAGCACTCGGAAAGCTTGTGATTTCAAATAAACCTGTTGGACTATAACCCGGTGTCATGTGACTTCTGACTTTGTCCACCCCAATCCAACACTGGCATCTCCACATCTTAATTACATTGCAAACCTGAGCCTTTTTAATCCCAAGCAGTCCCTTGTGGTTTGATGGAGGGCTGTGAGCTGCACTCGTGATCCTCATAGGGTTGCTACCCTCACTGCCCATTTCCCCCAGTCAACCTTCAATTGTCCTGTTCAACATAACAGCTGGATCACATGCACAGAATCCCAAACAGCTACTAAATTGTTGACTATCCAGAAAATACTATTAAAGCACATCTGTGTTGAATTATGGCAAAAAAAAAATCATTGCAGTTAAAACAAACTTTTTCTGAACTTGCTTTGCTTGAGTTCAAAAAAGAATTAGGTAATGAAAAGCAAGATGTCAAAATAATAAACTGATTAGCCCTAAACTTCAATTAATTCAAGTACTTCCCTGACACAGAACTTGCTGCTTTTAAAATTCCAATGCTTTGGCCCTTGGTTCTCACAGGGCACTGTTATCAAATTAAATAAAAAAAACAAAGTACTATAGATTTTAGAAATTTGAAATAAAAGCAGAAAATTCTGGCTAGCTCAGCAGGTCAGTATTCTCTGCTGCAGCCTCAGTAAATTAAAACGTTTTTGATCCAGACGTAATATGCACCTTTTTCAAACTACTTCAAAATAAAAACTGAAGGGTTGTCTTTTAATTCATATCAATGTAAGAATTAGGTACAGAAGGACACCCTTCAGCCTCGTGAACCTGCTCCACAATTCAATACGACCACATTTACTCGGTTTGTGTTTCGAATTCCAGCTTTCTACCTATTTCCGGTCTCCCATGACCCCTTGCCTATTAAGAGTCCTAAACTAAACTAGTCCACTAAACTAAAGAACTGTGGATGCTAGAAATATGAAACAAAAACAGAAAATGCTGGAGAAGCTCAGCAGGTCTGACAGCATCTGTAGAGAGAAAGCACAGTTAACTTTATGTGTCTTCTTTCGAACTTTTGGAGTCTATGCACCTTTGTCTTTAAAATGATTTAATCATTCTGCCTCCGCCGCCTTGTGAGGCAAGAAGTTCCGATAACTCTCTGGACAGAACATCTCCTCATCTTTATCCTAAAAAGGCAAACACTAATTTTAACTCCGTGCTCTCTCATTCTGACTGACCCTTAAGTAGAATCTTCCTTTCCACATCAACCTTCCAAGACTGTTCAGGATCTTAGACATTTCAATCAAATCCAGTGGAAACAAGGCTAACCTGTTTGTGAAGGCTAACCATTTCTGAAGAAGAGTCTAGGCCCGAAACGTCAGCCTTCCTGCTCCTCTGATGCTGCTTGGCCTGCTGTGTTCATCCAGCTCTACACCTTGTTATCTCTTAACCTGTTTGCGCAGTCCTCATAAGATAACCCACTCATGCTGGGTCTCAACTTAATGAACCTCCACTTAACCACCTCCAATGCATATTCTATTCTTCCTTAAATAAGGAGACCAAAATTGCACATTGTATTAAGATGTGATTTCACTAATGCCTTGTGCATCTGATGCATAACATCCTTACTTCTGTAATAAAGCAGCAAATGCTAAACAAGATCAACAGGTCTGGCAGCGCCTGTGGAAATTTGAGTCCAATTTGGCTCTTTGTTATTCCAAAACATTAACTCTGTTTCCATCTCCACAGATCCTGCCAGACCTACTGAGTTTCTCTAGCAGTTTGTTTTTATTTCAGATCTCTGCAGTACGTTGCTTTTATCCTCACTTTTATTTCAATTCCTCATATAATGAAGGATAGCAATCCCCATTCACCTTCTTGATTCCTTGATATCCTCGCAGACTAATTTCTTGAGGCGCATGCACTAGAACATCTAAATCCCACTGTACCTTGGAATTCTGCAATCGTTCTCCATTTAAGTAATACTCTGCCTCGTTGTTCTTTTTGCTAAAGTGAACATTTTCACATTTTCTCACATTATACTCTGTCTGCCCACCTATTCAACCTAAATTGTAAAATATTGAGGCCCCAGCACAGACACCTATGGGAGTCCATTCACTGCATTCAGCCAATCAAGCAAAGACCCATATATACACACTCTTGTTTTCAGCCAGCCAATCTTCAATCCATACCAATATAGTACCCCCATGCCATGGTTTTCTGCAGTTACCTTTGATGTGGCACTCCTTTAAAGTCCCTTCTTGAAATGCAAGAGTAGGACGTGAAGTAGCTCCCATTTGATGAAACCATGCTGATTCTTCTCAATTACCTTGAGAATTTCTGCATGCACAGCTATAACTTCCTTAGTGACCAAATCTATCACCTTCTGCATGACTGATGTCAAGTCTAACTGGCCCATTGTTTCCCTTCTTCTGCCTCCCTCCCTCCTTGAATAGTGCAGTATGTTTGCTATTTTCCATTCCAACGGAATCTTTTCTAAATCAAGGGAATTTATTGATGGATTCATTTAGTGAGATAAGATTACATTGGTTTTTCCAATCACACAAAATAAGTTTTCATTATTTTCCACCTTCTGGACATAGGAATCACAATTTGTCAAAACAAACTTTCAGCTATTTTTTTCAACTAGGGAAAATGGTTTGTGTAAGTCTCACATTTGGGCATGGCATTACTGACTCCTTTTGTTTGTGTCCATTTTCTGTAACAACAGATAAGAAATCATTTCTGATCTTGAACTGGAGTAATCTTGTTCAGAAAGTAAAAAATGTCGATGAACTTGCCGATCAAATGATGGGATACGGCCTCACTAATGAAATGTATTCTGAAATCTTGAGCTGCAGAACATCTCAGGAGAAGATGAGGAAACTTCTACAATACTCAACAACGACTGATGTGGTTTCAGGGCATCTGTTTACAGCATTGTGCACGTTGCATAATTATGTCATACAAGAGCTAATTCAATAAGACTAACATACACTGTCTGAGATTATTCCTTACTTTATCTAGCTAAAATGTGGCTTGGTTTTAACTGTGTTTGAGTCCTAAATTGTAAAAACTGCATTCAAAATTCAGGGCTATAATCTTTATGTAAGTATTAAAAGTAGAATGGGCAGATGCCATTAAGCTGGGTCTCCACCTGTAATACATTCCATCCCCTCGTCATGCATGGTCCTGGGGTCTTGCTTCCTCATGTATACACATGGCATTTTGTATTCAGACCAGACCCCCTGCAAAGTATTGTAAGGAGATAGCCTAGACCCTAACTTTTAGATTTATTTAAAGGCAAATGTAAGGCACTGTGTTTCAGATGTGATTTGATTGGTCCACCACTAGGCTTTTGTGAAAAAAAAACCTTATTCTTACAACACAGCTAAAATACAAAAGAAAGAAAAGAATTGGAATAACTTTAACTCTATTGAAATACTTAACAAGATAATGTGTGATTTAACCACTAATCATTAACTGTTCCAATATAGGCAGCATCCCACAAAACTCAGCTTTTGGTAAAAACGCAATTCAGCAAAACAGTTATGGATCTCACGTACTGTTTCTCTCCAGTCTAGAAAAAAGAAACAATCTGCCTCGTTTGATTTTTAAGACGAAACCTCGCTTTCTAAGACTACGTGCTAGCAGCCAGGAACTCAAGCTTTTAGCTCAGCAGCTAGCAGAAACTTTTTCACTAACGGAAAGCAAAACTAAAGTCCTTCCTGGGCCTGAGAGAGCCCTGACCCCACCCACTCATGATTTTTTGTCTTTATTAACAAAAAAGGGATAACTCCAAGCTGTTTACCAACTGCATTTCTGAAGGAGACATTATGTCACCACTGTGGCAACATCCTTCTGCAAGAGAAACTGCTCAGAACACAGCTCTCTTATAGACCACTGTCTCATCACAGTTTCCATACGGGAGTTGTAAAACAGCATCATGTGAACTATTGCCAGATTTCCTCTGGCTATCCCCGTGTGAAATGTGGACTTGGCAAAGACTATGAAAATTGACATGTACACCTTGCTCCTGGTCAGCAAAGGCACCTCAGAGGGCTATTTCTGGTTATGCCTATGCTTTAAAAAAAATGCCTGTTAGACATCGGGGTTGGAGGAAAATGTACAGTGGTGTATTAGTTGACCATGCAGGAATGAAGGAATGCATGGAAAGGAACTGCTGTTGCTTGATATATGAAATAAAAAGGGATTTATCAATCTGCTGATCTTGCTTTCCCAGGTGAACTAATGTGTTTGACACTGCAGCCTATCATCAATGTAATGTCAATGACATTAGCTGTGCCTTGACAGTTCCTATTGTCATCTCTTTCCATGTAAAGCTACAGCAATGGAACCAGCACTACCCAATATCACATGCCATAACTTGCCCTTTCCCTGCAAAAAATGGAAATCGACGTGCACCAGTGGAATGATGGGAGTCCACTTTTACTGCTCCTTATTTGGTGCACACTGAGAGGAAAACAGAATACGTTTCAGGAGAAGTGTTCAGTTTAATGTCGATTTGGTACATGCTAAGCCTAATGGATTTTAATAAATATTTTATAAGCTTTTGGAATGAGAACGAAGCTCTCAATATTAAAGTCATATCACTATATTCGTAACAAATCAATGAACAGCTTAAATTCATTCTAACAAGCCACTTTCAAAAGGCTGACACAATGAGAAAATTAACATGAAATACATTGAATTTGTTTAGTTTGATCTGATTATAGTGTATGCTGGGATTTGGGGAAATCTGACCCTAATATTTAATTGTTCCTGACTGCCATAGTCAGTTTTGTTCGCAATTGAGAGAGCTCATGATGGAGATTCGGTTAAAATTTAAATTTTATGAGAATTACCTAAATGTCTTGACTAGAATTGTCCACTACCATAACAACTACCACCTGCCTTATCCCCTCCTGACACACACAAATAATGGTAGAGCCTGATTCTGCATTTCTATTATTATCTACTCATGTCTGCCCCATTTTTCACACTGCTCAGTGAAGCTGACAGGATGTCTCAGAAAGTGATGGCATACTTCTGCTCCGTTAAGTTCCTTTGCTGGCTCTTTTGGGGATAGTAAAGAACCCACAGGCTTATCTCCGCTGATATCTCAAAACTGCATCTTTCAGACTCTATTTAGGCTGATCTCAGCACTCTCACCAAGGTTGACTCAATGTGGATTTTGTGGGCATGAAATATCACCTTCCTCGGTTTAACAACTTTAAAACATATAATAAAGAAACAATGAATGATTAAGTGAACAGATGTTTCCATATTTAGAACTTGGCTAACTTAATTTCACATACCTAGTTTTACATTTCCTTTTAAAGTAAAAATAAGGAAGTGGAATTAAGAAAGAAAAATAGAGAGAAAGTAAAACAAAAGGTATTAATTTACATACATGTGATGACTTTGATATAATCAGATATGCCCAAAAATCAATGAATTAGTCTCATAATGTAGCCAGTTGTATTGGCAAATGACACTCCAGATATTTATTATAAGAATGAAACAATAGAATATCCAGTTTTAACAAAAGATTTGTAGCATACACAATGTAAAGCACATGAGTCCTCAAAAAACTGCCCTCTTTCTTAGTCAGTCGCGTTAAAATTACATTAAATTCAGTTACTTGCAGTCAAGACTGACCTTCTTCACTCCATACTCCTGATGTACACAGCTGACCTCCATCCCAGAACACTATTCACAGGGAGAAGTGGTCAATGAAAATGAGGTAAGACGTTACATCAAATACAAATAGATGAGGATTTGAATATAGGGGAGGGGATGTCTTGCTGCAATTGTATAGAGCCTTAATGAGATCATACCTGGAGCACTGCATGCAGTTTTGCTCTCTTCATCTGACTACAGAAGGAGTGCAACAAAGGTTTACCAGACTGATTCCTGGGATAGCTGGACTGATGTATGAAAAGAGACTGGATCAGTTAGGACTATATTCACAGGAGTTTGGAAGAATGAGGAGGTATTTCATAGAAACCTATAAAATTCGAACAGGACTAGACACAGTAAAAACAGGAAGGATGTGCCTGATGACCAGGGAGTCTAGAACCAGGGGTCACAGTCTATAGGGATAGGTCATTTAGGACTGAAATAAGAAAAAAATTCTTCACCCAGTAAGTGCTGAACCTATGGAATTATCAGTCACAAAGTAGTTGAGGCCACAATATTGAGTACTTTTAAGAAGAACATAGATATAGTTCTTAGAGCTAAAAGATTCAAGGGATATTGGGGGAAAACAGAAATAGGGTACTGATTTGGATGATCAGCCATGATTATATTGAATGGTGGAGCAGGCTCAAAGGCCAAATGGCCTATTCCTGTTATTATTTTTCTATATTCTAATGTTTTTCTATCTATGTCCCGATATTAGCACAGTCTGGTGGGGAATGTGGTGGGTATCAATGGGTCTTGTTGCTCTGGTCTGTGAATGGCACATGTCTTGCATTCGACAATGAGAGTCCTTTTGAGATCCGTAGCCACCATAACATTGACTAAGATTTGACTCTGCACTTAGTGATCCTCAAGTGTTCCTGGTGCCACTTCCCTAACATATTTTTCAGACATGAAGTTGGAATGACCAATCATTCATCATATTCTGCTGTGTCACATACAATTATAAAATATATTTTCAACACTTATTTGCTGGGCTTTTGGTCCAGTTGACCTTCATCACAATACTGATAGATGTTGAGATA